TTTTCAGATCTGACTTAGAAGACATGATTTTATGTTTTATCTGTCTACTTTTTGTGGGTAAAATTTGTCTTTCCATTTACGGGAAAACTCTTTCGTTTTCACTAATTAATCTTTTTAAGTGTATGATTTGTCATTTTAATTTTGTCCCTTCCTTTATCTTCTTGTTCCTGGGACATAGAAATTGACAGAAGAGAGTGAGCACACAGAGACAGTTGTATAAAGTTATATTTCTGCACTTGCGTGCTCACTTCTCTTTCTGTCACCTTCCAGCTCCTGGAATTTGATCTCTTCCCCGATCTGTTCTTGGGCTGTTTTTGTTCCAATTTAACTGCTCATCTTTCTCCTCTCTTCCAACCAGAAGAAAATCACAGAAGCAAGCAAAGATCAGAAGTGGACAAACTCTGATGCATATGTAGTTTTACTGTAATTGATTTTTCTTATGTGGGTCGTTGGAGTTTTGATTATTTTATGCATCGAATTATTATATTTTATGGAGTTAATATAACTGATCCGAGCGTGTCTTTTGATGGTGTTTTATAATTTTATTAATTTTATCTTTTATGTCAAAGGTGAATACATAGGTCTGATTACTGTGCGGATTTAGCGCCAAAACAGCGTGTAATAGCATGGGACCATCACGTTTAAGCTATCTTTTGCTTATAGTCTGGTCCTCACTACTCAAAAATCATTTGTGTTTAATTTGTTTCTTTGCTTCTTTTTAGTCAAGCTTCTTGCTATTATCATCATCAATAGTACAGTTACCCCTTTTTTATATGTTTATATATATATACGCATGCTATCATCTACTTGTTTTTTCACCTGAATCTAACAAGATTCCACTTGCTTGTACCGTTACTGATGATGGTTTTTTTTAAACAAAAAAAAAACATCTTAAAACCCTATCCTGGCAAAGATCAACTTTGCTTGTATGGAACCAAGGAAAATCTTTTTGAAAAGACTTGTTTTTTTTCTTTTTTTGTAATTGCAGATTTAACCCAAGTTGGATAATTCACAAGCAGAATTAATGGTTAAAGAAAGGTTTGGATGGATGTAGATTTGTGTTTTCTATTTGGGTTTTGTCATATGAGTGTGATTTTTACTGTAAAAAGCAACGATTTTCTCTCTGTATCATAGGGGTTCCTTCGGTATATGTACGTATATGTATGTACATATACACGAGTGTTTGTCTGTTGTATCTTTTTTTTTTAGTTCTCTTGTTTTTGTCATTGATGATTTTGCAGATGGCGATGATGATGATGATGATGATGATGATGATGATGATGAATTCGTAAGTAGAGCAACGATCAGCTCAGTTAAGTATCTTGGAGTTGAAAACTTATCAAACAGGTTTATATAAACTAAAGCTACTTATTTAGCTATTTGATCATCTGCTAGATTCTTGTCCTATATACTGTGACTGTTGCTGGAAATTTCAGAAGATACTTCAGGTGAGACTTTAGGGTATGCGGATCCATTATAGCTGGGTAACATATATGTATTAATATATCCGTTACGTGTGTGTGTGTGTGTGTGTGTATCAGTCATATATCGGCGGCCTTGACGAACTACTATCGACTGTCAAAGTATTTAGGATGTTAAAAAAGCGATTGGACGAGTTAAATTTCAAAACATTTCCGCGTTTACATGTGTGTGTATATAACACAAGTATATATCAATGGCGGGGCGTACTAGCTACCGCATATCATATTAAGTTTCTTCTTATTTGTCAATATACATATTATATATATAACACAAGCGTGCCTTCATATATACTATATATATATATATAGATGAAGCATGTGATTTTTGAAGGATTTTAAGATCAATTTCCTCTTTCAATCCAGGCATCAATATTCTCCTTTTCCGGTATTCTCCTTTGTTTCTTCAGTTGGTTTAGAGACAACAAATTAAATTCTTAAAGCTAATCCATGGAATACTCAACGAGTTGGGGAGTTGCCATCCGTCGCTTCATGACAAAGGTAATTTACTTCTAATTATGGTTTAATATTTGCATTGACTGTTGACTCTCAGTTTGGACAAGTAGTTATTTCGCAATGATTATCCGACTTTAAGAGGACAGTTTTTATAATCCCTTGTTTATAGAGTTATTTACATAACTTCTGAGAACATATAGAAAATATATAGAGAGAGAAATGCGGCCGGTTGCATTTGCTGCATAATTTTTTTTTTTTCAGATGTATTTATACACAAGAATATCAGTATTTATGATATAAATAAACAAATTTTTTATACATACTAGAAATAATATTTTATTTTTTCGAAACTGACTATCCATATCTTTAGTTTTTTTCTCTCCTTAAGCCAATTTCTAAAGCTTTATTGGATATTGGAGCTTAACTTCAATCATTACATTAAAAGAAATGGAAACAATAGGTCCTTTTGTCTTTTCTCTACTAGAAAAAAGAAGATTCATTGACAAGAACTAACATAGAATGTGCGAAGCGCTTGATGGGTGTGTAATTGTCAATTTTATATCATAAAACTAATCTTACTTCCAAAACAAACCAACCTAGAAATTGTCGATTTCTATTCTTTTGTCACTTCTATTTTTTAATGTCATATTGGTATGCTCTTCATTTCAAGTCGAAATCCATTCTTCTCGTGATGTAATCCAAGAAGTTCCAATCATATTGTTTGCTTTTTCAAGATCAATATTGAACATCAATCCTATTTGCCTCTTATCAATAGGTTAACTGCTTAAGTCATACCCCAGTAGCTCGTAAAATATAGTTTGATAAAAAGCATCTTGCGACACCTCCCTTGAGGGAATCCCAACCACTTGGAGCTTTTTATCACAAAAGGAAAGCAAAAGTAGAGGTTGAAGTGCGCACTGAACAATTCAGCTGACATAGTCCTTTTAAGAATGTCATAGAGGTATAAAAGACATATAAGCTACACCAAGTAAGAGAATTCAGAGAGGGTAGTGTTCAGAGGTACAATAGTATACTGAAACCTCATGGAAAGTCCATTTTAAGGTGTGAACACCAATGATTATGCAGCTGCAAAATAAAGCAAGATTTGGTATATTACAAAGATTCGATGCGGTCAAATGATAGTAGGTGGCATAGCTAGCTCCCAATTTGAGAAACACGATAGATTAGGAGGACATACATCAAAAAGAAAAATTTGGTGGAAAACGATCATCTCTCTCTTCCAGCCATAACCAAAAAGACTCTCATCCCCAGGGGAGCAGAGGACGAAAAATGCAACCATCCTCAAGGAAGCGTATGAGTCACGTGGGTTTTTAAACATTTTTAGTACAATCTCTCGCCTGAAATTAATACGAGTCATGTGGCAATATCTGCAAAAACCTGAAGGGACGCATGTCACAATCATGGAGGAGGTATTTAAAGCACTAATACCCTAGGTACCAAACTGTCTCTGAACCATTGAATCGTTTCTTCCTCATGCGGTGAATTGAGCCGACTCTTCCTCTTTTTTCTCCATTCAACGAACTGCACAAGAAACATTCCCTTTGAATGTCTACTTCTCTCACCTCTCTAACTCCTGTGGTGAAGAATGGTGATTTGAAAGAAAAATGCATGCACCATTTATATATTTCAATGTTCCATTGTAAACCAAGATCAATAAAAGAATTTCCAATTAATCTTATCCAATTTTAAATCTCTTTCTCTATCGCGGTGTTATTCCTTCTCCAACCTCTTTCTCTCTCGTGATCTCTCACACCTTTTGCTCTCATCTATCTTAGTGTTCTTCATCCTTTCTCAACATTCTTTATCTCTCTCCATAATTTCAGTCTTTTTCTCTCACTATTGATCTTTCTATCTCTCAATCCCTCTCTATTAAACTTTCTCTTTCCTAATCTCTCTCTCATATGTTTTAATTTATTCTTTTTATTGTCTCACGATTTTGGTAAAGTACATGTTAAGGTCACGTCCTAGCACTTGCATACTTACCTTCCTTGACTTTTGGACCCCCATACTTACCTTCCCTTGCAATTTCTCAATGTAAAAGATAAAACAACACATTTAATCCTTAAAAAGTAAATCCACATCTTTACTATTGAAACCATGTAATAAAATTCTCCTATCTCTCTCACCTTTTCCTATTATCCTATAAGCACACCAAATCATGACCTATATATGCCCCATCAAACACTATAAATGCCATTAACATCTGCACTAAAAATGTATGGAAATTCAAGTTAAAGATAAACTTTTGCTTATCATATTCTTCTCTAAATTAAAACATATCTTCATATAACGAAACTTTAACACTAAGATA